AGGGTTGCGGATATCGAGGGGGTCCAAAGAACAAAAATCCATTAGGAGAAAGAAATTTTTCAAGATATATCAATGGGTAAATATAAAAAAATCCAAATGGAAAAAATTTAAACAAAATAAATCCATGGTAGTAAATTTATTTATTCATGGCAGTAAATTTATCAGTGAATTTATTTGTGTATTAATTCTATTTCAAAGAACATATATGCAAAATATCCATTGAACAAATTTAACAAAATCCAACAATCCAGGGGGAGAAATTATGTTTAACCCTCAATAGGTTAACAAAGGTTTAGAAAATCCACAGGAAATGTTAAAATAAGAAATCCACATACCCTATTTATACTAAAGCAATATCCAGGGGGTATTTTTGGCAAACCCTCAATAGGGGGGGAGGGGTCCGCTTAATAAATGGAATGGTTATTATAAGCAAACGAGTTCATACTTCACGTGGGAATCAAGCGTAAATTCATCATAACACACAATCTGTCAATCTCCATCGACTCTATATTTTAGTCCTACAAATACTGAAATACCTGTCCATATCACCATATGCACGTCACCAAAATTCTCAAATCTAAACCGTTAATCCAACAAAGCTATTCTTTTTGCTTTGTCTGGAATCGACGGAGTAAAAATACTGCTGGAAATTCAAATATCACAGTATAGGGATTCATTGACGGAAATATAGGTATTAATAAATGCGCACCCGATTAGCGCGTTTGACGCCGGCTGACAGCCGGAATTTTTGTCTCCGATTGCTCGGCGCCGCAAATTTTTTTCCCGTATTTTTTCCGCGTCCAGGCCTCCGCGCGTTATCGATGGATCCCAATTCGTACCCTGCGTAACCCACTGGTGCACCACTGCACCATATATCCATCACTCCACGTTGTTCTACTTGTCCTACTTCGACCACGTGTAGAAAGATGAACGATTTGCTTCGCGATGGCATAGTAAATCTACAAACTTCTTTTTCTGGTTGCGAAAATACTCAACAACTGTTATTGCGAGTTAAAACAATATATCATCCCAAATGAAGAGAATCAGGATAAGATAAATAGCGTGCAACGGTGCAACCGTGCAAGGAAATACTGGAAGATTCAAAGCGACCATCAAGACCACTTTCCACAAATAGGAGTATTGCAGAATACCCGTCCACTAGTAATATATCATGTAGCCCGGTGTCCCAGGAAATTTGGCCCCTATAGGAAATATGGCCTCCCCTTCGGAAATTTGGCCCCGTCGAAAACATAGTTTACTTTATCGCTTATAAGCTCGAAAATCGTGAAGCTTCTTCTAAAACCAAGATCCTAAAAGTGTTTGTCAGTATTTATAGTTAGTTTGCATAATTTATTTATGTCGAAATTCTTCGTTGCGGCCAAGAGCTAAAAGTTTGAAGGAAAGCGTAATAATTAATAATGTGCTAGTGCAGTCATGCCAGACACATCACACATTGGTATCTGTAAACATGGGCGTACTGACCCCCCAGTTTGTCGGGCAATATTCGCTCAACAGTCGGGCAATTTTGGTTTATTATAAAAATAAATGGGACAAATTCTGTCAATTTTGTGGTCAATTTTATGATGTTTCGAAAATTTGTGTGATGTTCCGAAAAATTTTGGTAGGTCCGAAAATTTTTTTGACCCCTAGAAATTTTTCTCAACATTTATAATATAATTTTTTTCTCCCAGCGACGCTAATTACACTGGCCGCAGCCAGTGTCATAATTTGCCCTCGCTGGAATGCGAGGAATTTTTTCGGGTTTTTTTTTTGTTGTCGCAAGTGTGACTTTCCATT